TGTAGAAAAAAAATAATTAAAATAAAATCTTGAGGTTGAATTCACAAACAATAGCTCATTATTAATGTACATATCAATATACATTATATTATGAAATTTATATACATTACATGAACTTTATAACCATGAAAAAAATATACATAACATGAGATACATACAAAAGCAATAAGGAATAAAGCACAAAAACCAACACACAACCAAAATGGAAGAGCGACCGCCGAATGAAACAGTACAAAAACTATCAGAAGACCTGTCGTTCCCGAAACTGTCATAAACGTTCAACATTTCTTCCAGTTTTGGACGTCCATGGTTGTGATCTTGGTGAGAAAACCGACACGTCATGGAGTGAAAAGGAGACAAACAAACAAACAAGCAAACAAACAAACACAAACAATCAAGCAGACAAACAAAAAAGCCAGAAATAAAAAAACAGGTAAACAAAAAATCCTCAAATAAACAAACAATCAAAAAATCCCCAGATAATTAAACAAACAAACAAACAAACCAAAAATCCCCAGATAAACAAACAAAGAGACAAACAAAAACAAACAGAGAAACAAAAAATCCCCTGATAAACCAACAGTCAAACAAAAAACCTCCAGACAAACAAACAAACAAACAAACAAACAAACAAACAAACAAACAAACAAACAAACAAACAAACAAATGGTGTACTCACGGCGGAGACACGACCCGTCTAGCCGGGGCCTGGGTCTGTGTCTGAGGCTCCATCATGAGGCGGCTCACGTCTGGCTGCACGCTCAGTTTGGCGCGAGTCGTGGCCTGGCCGGTCACGTTGGCAGCCGAGCACTGGAACCATGCCGAGTCGGTCAGCTCCGCGTTGTCAATGTGGAGGCTTGACCTCCCGCCGTCTGTCTCGATTCTGGGAAAACACAGGGCAGAATTGATTATAATATTAAACATTTCACCTTTCGCATTTTAAATATGGTCGCTTTTTTGGACAAGTGGGCTGTCCCGAGAAATGCTGTTTGGAGAAAATCGAAGGTAAAATGTTTGCCACTTGTTCAGCTTCATAAGACAAGGAGAGTTTTCTCTATAACCAAACAAATATACACACCAATGAAACCAAACTTCTCCTTTAGATAGGTAGGGCAATATCCACTTTTGGTGTAGGTCAAGATTTATTTTGCATCAAAACGTCGAGAAAATTGGGACAATTACAGAGATCTAGATTTCTCTATTTATCTATTAAAAAATAGTGTCAAACGAAGTGTTAGAAATAGCTACATTTAAATTTAATTTAAAAAAAACACTCATGAAGTTTCCAACCACCAATGGTTAAATGACCTTGACCTTACCTGTAGTCCAGTTCACTGAGCATGCGGCCATCCTTCTGCCAGCTCATCATGGGAGTGGGCACACCGGTGGCCAGACAGGTCAAGGTCACGGCCTGACCTTCACCCACAGTGAAGTTCTGCATGCGGTCAATGAACTTGGGGGGCTGCATCTTCTCGCGTTCTGTGGAGTGGAGAGAGAGACGAGGAGAGTTGACTTACTGAGGTCATGCACTTTGGCCTTTCAACAACGCTTGAAGGCGCGATGTTTTAGGACATTTTAGGAAAGAGGTATGTCACATTCATACACATTTATAAATTCTGTTGTCTTAATCTGAGAGTCTAAAAAAGCATATTATTTGTAACAATGTGTCTACTACGAAATATGCAAATTCGTGTTTCTGATGTTCGTGTGTGATGGTTTGAAATGTGCTGCAACGTTCCCTTTGGTCTGCAGCTGGTCCGGTGTGTGTGTGACTCTTGCCTGCCGCCCC